TGATCTAGTATTTTTGTTTTATTTTATTCTGAGATATGATCTTACACTGTAGGTAAGGCTAGCCTCAAACTCACTGTAATCCTCCTGCCTCACTTTGTTGAATGCTGAGACTATAATTGTGAGTCACCATGCCTAACTAGCATGTTCAATTCAAATTTAAATTCATTTAAAAATCAGCAGTTCAAGGCTATCCTTAGCTATGTAGTGAACTAAAGGCCAGCTTGGGTTATATGAGAATTTGTTTCAAAAGAAACGAGAACAAAGCCAGAAACAAAACTAAGCAAACTCAAATGAAAACAACTGATTATTTAATTAAACAGCTTTAAATCATTTAGTTAAATGGGTATACTTCTTTTTTGAAATCAGCCCCGTATACTGTTCCAGCTTCCTGGTCCCGCTCACTGTGCTGTGGGTGGGGGAAATGGGGACATTTGGGAGGTGGAGGAGGGACAGAGACATATACCAGTGCACTGGAACCTGCTGCCAGGCAGTGCCCTCTGTGTTTGCTGTGTGGGACCGCAGACACTGTATGCTAGAGTATCTCTTACAGCAGTTGGAGATGTGGTAGGGGAGAGTCCTTCCTTTCCTGAGGTGTTGCCAAGACTCTTCTGCCTTTCAAACTTTAGTAGCTGCAGGAAATCTCCACTGCCAGTGTCCTCTCACCGGGGCAGGGACTCTCTGCTGTCCACATACCTGGGCTTCCATGGGCATCATCACCCGTCCCTTCATGCCCCGCTTCCATAGACCTTCATTTGTTTGTCCCCAGGAGGGGTGTGGCTGAGGTCCCCCTGCCCTGCTGGTCCTTCACATCCATTATTCCACTGCTCAGCTTCTCACACAGGTTTTTCCAAACCCCTCCCGTCTCCCAGTTGTCTGAAATGGAGCATGACAACGGGCTTTATCTTCTCTCCCTTTTCTTGTTCCACGGCTCTAAGGCAGAGAGACAGGTGGTTTAGACTTCAGCCACAGTGTCTGACCTCCCTCCACACCCACTCTCCGGCAGCTCCTCCCTGGACAGCTCTCCTGGGCTGCCTTCCCTGGGCTGGGGGTCTGATTGGGACCAGTCAGAGCAAAGATGCTGGATGGCGTATGGGGAGGAGAGGTGGCTCTTTCCCCAGCTGCCTCCCTCCTTGTTGCATAGTTTAAGAGTGGCCTTGTTTCTCTGATGACGGCTGTAGATTCAGTCACAGCTCTAGGAGACAGGAGCCTTTTTAAGCCCCTCTGAAATATCCAGAGAGATGATAGTTGTCATAATTCTTGATGATTAGTGTCCCAGGATCTCTTATTGTTCAGCCTGCGAATGGTCCCTGTCCGTGAGCATACATCTAAATGTGCTTGCTGGCTCCCGCCAGGAGACTGCCTGATATCCTGGGTATGTGTAGGATTACATAGCATGCTGGGCATAGCTTCCTTTGGTGATCCCTCAAGCCAGATAACTAAGAGTCTGGATGAACAAGGCCACACTCTGGCCAGGAGGGCTCAGCATGTGCAGGATTTGTAGGTACAGTATTTACTACAAACTCAAATCTGTGAGCCAAAGTGTGCGAGAGCAGAGGCAGCATGGACTGCCATTCTTTGGATGTCTGAGACAGTCAGACATGAGGCAGCGTATGTGTTTAGTTGCCCCACGTAAACACTTCAAAAAGAGCATTGGTGTTTGCTAAGTTGGCAATCAGTATTGGAAAAATCAGCTCTCCTCGACTTGATGATTCAGCCAGCATGTCCTTTGCCAAACTGGGTGGCTGAGCAAATTCTCCTTGCAGAATTAGTTTACTCCTGTCAAAGCCAGATTCTCCCTGCCCAAGGAGGGCTGGACTTGCCCTGCTGGCTCAGGGTAGGTTGACCTGGGTGCCTGTGTTCAAGGGTTGCTCCCCTGGAGTGTGTTCCACGATGGGGAAATAGAGGGCCTACCGCACCTGAGTCATCTTCAACCTCATGCAGGCTGGTAAAGCTGCCCGGTGACACACAGACCAGAATCCATCCATGGTTAGAGAATCTTTAGCCAGAAGGGGATCAGTCAGGAGTCTAGGGGAGGAGAACAGAGGGCCTGCCGGGATACTCAGTGGGGGCTTGGAAGGACAAGGATCTGATCACAGCTGGATCTTAATGACAGTGAGACTGGACCTGGGCCAAATCGGGAACTAAGTCCATCTTTGGGCAGTTAGGCCTCTCCTGGTCCCTCTGCGTTTCCTGGCCAGGCATTTGGGGTGTGCGGTTGGGCAAAGGGCAGATGTGTGACATCACTGGAGTCAATGGAGAGCTCACCCGAAGACAGTGTCCTAAAGAGGGCAGCGTCTGTGGGAAGTGGTGCCTGACGGTGGAGGGGGGAGGGGGGAGGACGATGACACAGCATCATCGGAAGCGGTAGGGGGAGGGGTGGCATCCTGGCCTGTGTGGGATGGACAGCATCCTGTGCTGTGGGGTTGCCGGGGCAGTGTGGGGCCATGGGGTAGTATCCTGGGCTGTGTGGGATGGACAGCATCCTGTGCTGTGGGGTTGCTGGGGCAGTGTGGGGCCGTGGGGTAGTATCCTGGGCTGTGTGGGCTGACTCTTGACAGGGGTCTGTTGGGTCTGGTGAACCTCAGAGAGGAGAACCATGCTAAGCACTAAACAGGGAGCTATAGGGAGGGGTCTGGAAGCCATTCTAAAGGTAGCAGAGAATAACAAGAGAAGACCCTTGTGAGAGTAGGGGTCACATGCACCCTCAATGGGAGCAGGGCCTTTGATGGGTCCAAAAGTATCTCCATGTGTTTTGAAGCCCGATTCTCACCAGCTGCACACTCTTTCCCTGACCTAACACCCCAAGTGGAAAACTGTAGAAAGATAGGGTGAACTGGACCTGCTTGAGTTCCAGGGCCCCATTTTCATGGCCCTTTCCCAATCCATGGGGTTGTATACATACACACACACACACAGACACACACACACATACATACATACATATATCTTTGTGTATAATTAGCAAGAATCACACTTGTGTTCCTTTTCTTTCTTTAAAAAGAAAAGTTTCCATGGCTGGGTGTAGTGGCAGACACCTTTAGTCCCAGCACTCCAGAGGTAGAGGCAGGCTCTCTGTGAGTTCGAGGCCAGCCATGTCTACAGAGCTAGTTCCAGGATAGGCTCCAAAGCCATAGATAAACCCTGTCTTGAATAACCAAAACAACAACAACAACAAAAAACCAAAAACAACAACAACAACAAAAAGGCTCTGTGTGTGCACATTAGTGTGTGTGAATGCAGGCATGCATGTGCTGTGACACATGGGTCGTGAGGGGCCAGCTGAGGGCGACAGCTCTCACCCTCCGCCCCCTGCACACCTGGCTAGCTGGCCCACAGCATTCTGGATTCTCCTGTCTTTGCCTCCTGTTTTTCTACACCAGTTCTAGGATTATGGGCGTTCCCAGCTTTATATGGATCCTGGGGATTTGAACTCAGGTCTTCTGGCTTACTTGGCAAGTGTTTTACCCACTGAGTCATTTTCCCAGCCTTCTTTTTCTTTACAAGGGCGATTCCAAATAAGCACCTGTCCACTTCTGCTCTAAGGAGAGAGCAATAGACTGTATTGGGTTTGGCCATGGGACTGGCGGTACTGTTGCCCACAGCACCCTTTAACTACCCTAACCACAGCCCAGGTCCTGCCAATGCAGGAATGTGGGAAGGCCTCAGCTCTGAAGGGCATGGGTTGTGAGGGCCCTTGGTCTGGTAAACACTAATTAAGTTCTGCCACACCCAGCAGCATGGCTTTGAGAGAGGCCTCATGGGGAGGAGGCCTCAGTCTCCTGACCCAGGTCTAGACCACGTGAGTGGGCACACTGGAAGACCTTCTGCCCCTGTCCCTAGGCCAGTGGCATTCATATCCCTCAGCTCTCTAGCTCTGAAGGGTCTAACGCCCCAGCTGCCCCTTGGCCCGCTGCTGTTGTGAGCAGGGCCCGATGCTAAGAGGAACTTACCTAGCACATCCGTGATGATCAGGAGGGAGGGAATAGGTATTTGCAAGAACTTGCATGCTTTGACCCACTGACTACCAGTGACACAGCCAGGAAGGCCTAGCTGTCCCATTTTATAGATGAGGAAACTGAGGCTTTGCTTTGATTAAGGGAGGCAACATGTGGTATGTGGCTTGAGGAATCTCTGACTACCCTGAGTAATGAGGGAGGCAGCCTGAGCCCTCTGCATGCGCCATATCAGGAAGTTGGGGAACTGCTCCATGGGGATATTCTAGTTAGAGACGATCTCCTCAAACAGTGATGGGTCTTCTGCCCACTTGTCTAGGATGTGGGGAATTATGTGGCTACTGCTAAACTCCCAGACCATCCCTAGAAGCTGGACCCCGAGGTAGAAAGTGGCCCAGCTGGCTGCCCCTGTCCTGGGTGACCCAGGGGCTAGGATGAGTGAAAATCAGCTGACTGAGCCAGGGTGACTACGCCTCTGACCAATGCTGTGTCCTCCAGAGGGTGAGGCAACACGTGTTCAGGGGAGACCACATGGCTGTTCCGCTGGGCCATGGTCCCTGGCAGCGGGAAAGGCAGGAGTACCTAGGCCACATATGCCAACCTCAGGCTGCTTTGGCTCTAGGCTCTAAAAGCCTGACTAGGCCACCCTGGGGACTCTGGTAGGAAGACTGGGGGCCTTGCCATTAGGTAATACACCAGCACTCAGACTTAGAGAGCTTAGACCCCAGACAGGGCCTGACAGACTATTGTCCCCAAGTGCTACCATCCCACAGAACATGCACGTTCCCTGCCGTGGGGACACAACATGCCCAGAGCTGACCTCTCTTGTTCTGCCTTCCGTCTCGGTTTCTCAGAGCTCCTAGCAGACGACGTAGGGGGCTCATTGAGAGAAGGGTAGTGCACAGTACTGGGGTAACCCCACCCAGGCCCTGAACTGACTCATTGCTCAGCCTCCTACTGGCTGGATAAGGGCTTGGTGCCCTAGAGCCTGGTAGGCCGTCATAGGCATGTATAAAAGCACGTTAATCCAGTCCGTGGCATTGTACCTGTCACTGCTGCTGTACGATGCTGGGAGGCTTGGGCAAGCTGGCGGCTGAGGGCCTGGCCCACCGCACTGAGAAAGCAACTGAAGGAGCAGGTAAGGGGGCCGGGGCTTCCCACCTGTCCAGAAGATGGGGACAGACTCCCTTGAGCTTGTTGAGAGCTGCTCTCAGTAGGCAAGCAAGAAGAGCCTTGGGGTAGACTGAGGCTGAGGCCCATCAGGAAGCTAGGCTCACTGGTCCCACCGGAGGTCAGCAGAACTGGGGATGTAAAGGCTGGAGTTATTGCTCAGGGTAGAGCCACTGCCCAAGCAGCCTCCCTGGTAGGGACTTGCTCCATGACCCAGGCTGAGCCTGCTTGGAGGTCAGGAGGAGGCCAGCCCTGAGGAGCCTCCAGGAGGAGGCAGAGTCCAGGTGCTGGCTGCTTAGGTCATTCTGTCTGGAAGCCCAGAGCACCTTTTATGTCAATATTGCTTATTCTAGAGCCTGAGGGTGTAGCTTAGCGATAGAACATTTGTCTATACAAGGCCCTGGATTTTTGAAAGAACTATAAAACAAAATGAAACAAAAATTCTGCCTGTTTCCATTAGTCTATGCAGAAAAAAAAAGAAGGTGGATTTTAATTTTCACCATACTTCAAAGCTTCAAAGGTTCTTTTATTTATTGTGAAACCATGGAATCTGGTCTGTTCAAAGTCTAAAAGGGATTTTCTATTTCTTCCAAGAACCTAGGGCATGATTTTGCCAGCTGAGGCCCATGGCTGTGGGTGGCCGTTCATGAGTCCCTCTGTGTCGAGTTTGCTGTTCTCTTTGGAAGTGGCTGTAGACATGCCAGCACGTATTTCATTTTTAACTCCACAGCTGGATCGGACCCCTTCTTTCATCTTCCAGCCTTTTGAGCTGTGAAGGACATGGCAGGGGAAGGCAATGTTAGGAACACTTTTGTCTCTAAAATTTTTGGGTTCTGGAATGTTCCCATCAAAACTCTCCAGAACCTGGAGGTGGGTAGGGACTCCCTCTCCTGGGAAGAGTTGCCTAGAAGAGTTTAGCTTCTCTGGAGATGTACAGATGTGGCTAACTGATAGACAGGCCTACCTCGCCTCAAGTTTCCAGCCGGCAGAAGGTTGTTCTAGTTATCCATGCCCTTCCAGGCTGAGGGGCATAGGGGACCTTGTGCATCCCCAGCAGCCAAGCATCTTGGGGGTCTACTGAGGGAGGCTGCTAGGGGTTTTGCTAAGCTGTCAACCCTGACTAGGGGTGGCACAGCAGAGTCTCTCCTTCTTGTCTGGGGCATCTCGGCCATTGTGAGGGGAAGTGGGCTTACACACAGCTTCACTCTCAATTTGTCATCTCTGTGCAGTTCATGCCGTGGAGGAGGTGGTGAAGGAGGTGGTGGACCACGCCAAGGAGGTTGGAGAGAAGGGTAAGGCTGACTTGTTTGAAGATAGGAATGGGGAGGAGGGAAAGAAGGAAGGAGAAGGGGGGGGGAGGAAAGCATGGCGGAGGGGTGGGGTACTTACCTAGCATGTATAAAGTGGTTGCATCCCCAGCATACAAAGAGAAGTAGAGAGAGATTGAAGCAAGCAGGCAGGAAGGAAGGGAGCCCAAGCCCCAGGGCTAATCCTTTTCTTGCTCAACCAGATCCAGCCCTGCCCCAGATCCAGCATCCTCTCTGCTGGGCTGCAATTATGTGTACATCCTCCCCGTAGGCAATTATCTGTGCAGGTTGTACCTTGTGTCAGGGCTCCACCTAGGCTGTTTTCTCTGTGGAATATTAAGAAGACAAGGCCACAGAAAGTGACGTGGCAGCACATAGGGGCACAGCAATTAAAATAGGCATTTGTATATTTTAATATGTATTTGTTTTAGAATTTATTGTGTATGCATTATGCCTTGAGTAAAACAGTGTACAAAACATATCTCACTCCAAACTCCAGCAGGGCGAAGGACTTACATTTAAATACACAATATATCAGACTGTTTTAAAATGAAATGCCAGAAATTCAATGGTTCATAAACAGCAGCAACTTTTTTCTCTAGCCAAGCATGGCGGACCATGTTTATTATCCCAGAACTAGGGAGAATGAGGCAGAAAAATTGTGAGTTCAAGGCCAGCCCGCCCGGGTTACACAGTGAGTAAGTACCAGCCCAGCCTGAATCATGTAGTGAGATCCTCATTCAAAGAGAAGGGGGAAAGAGAAGGAAAAGAAGTGTTGCTCTCTCCGATGAAATCTGGAAGCCCTAGTGACAGTGGCCGGGTCATCTGGTGAAGCTGGCCCCCGGCTCACACGTGCGGGGCTCTCTGCGATGTCCTCACAGGGCTGAAGGATTAGCTTGTTCCCCTGGATATTACCCTTCTTGCTCAGGAGGCTCCCTCCACCCTGCTAACCTAGCCAGCACCACCACTCCCATTTTTCATGGCACGATCTTGAGGAGGCTTACAGCATGGAATTTTGGGAACACAAAAATTCAGACCAAAGAAGTGTCCCAAGAGACTTCGCTATAATCTTGGAGAGGCTCTTTTTCTGTTTGTTTGTTTGGTCCTTTTGTTTGTTTGTTTTAAGACAGGACCTCTCTGTATAGCTCTGGCTGTCCTAGAACTCACTCTGTAGACCAGGCTGGCCTCGAACTCACAGAGATCCAAGGTGTGAGCGGCTGCAGCTGCTGCCGCTGCCGCCACCACCCAGCATGAAGGGAGGCTCTTTAAAAACACCACCACCACCACCACCAAAACAACACAGTAGTCATAAAGAAAACATTAGGTAAATCTGTCAATATGATACTTCACAATTGTACACAGGAGGGGCAAGCAGAGGGAACACAAAAAGCAAAGCAAAGCAAGATGGAAGTTAAGTCAAAAGGAAGGCCACGAGCTTCTGTGATAAGATGTTCATGACAGAAACAGCAAACCAATATAGCAATCATCATAAAAATGGTCTAAGAATACAATGAAGCAGTTTCTAGAAAAATAATGTAAGTAGCCAGCACACCCTTGAGCTGTTCACGCTGTCTCACTCAAATTTGAAGAAGTAAAAGTTGTCAGGGAAAATCAAGCCACATTGGATTTGTTATGACTGTGGCACGCTGTCCTTTGTCCCCCGGAGCTGCTCCAGGCCTGATCCCTAACATAGCCTTACCCCTCAGGCTCTCCCTAGAAACAGGGGGCCACTCACCCTACACTTTCTCTTTTCTTTTTCCAACAGCCCTTACCGATGCCCTAAAGAAAGCCCAAGAATCAGGGGACAGAGTGGTGAAGGAGGTGACGGAGAAGGTGACCCACACTGTCACCGATGCTGTTACCCATGCTGCAGAAGGCTTGGGTAGACTGGGACAGTGAGCCACCACCTGCCTGGCCCTTCCTGAATGTCAATAAAAAGTCTGGAATGTGAACAGAGTCCTGCATTTACTCCCCTTTGGATGGAAACCCCAGGCAGTGTCTTTTTGTTGTTCTTTGTTGTTTGTTTGTTTTGGACAAAGGCCTTATTTGGGGTAGGTTGGCCTGAACTCACTTTTGCTGCTTAGCTGAGGCTGACCTTGAATTCCTGATCTTTTTGACTCCACCTCCTGAGTGTGGGATCACAGGCAAATGCCTGACAAGGCTAAATCTTTTTTTTAATGGAAACACTATATAGTATCAGCTTTTCCTCTGCCTTAGAGGAGCATCCAATATGGTGGGTACCTGCTGCTCTTGTGGTTTCCACCCAATGAATCAGATGAGGGATTATCATTCCAGCAAGCAGTCCTTGTGTTTGTGGGTGTACATGCGCGCCTGCGTGCGTGCGTGCGTGCGTGTGTGTGTGTGTGTGTGTGTGTGTGTGTGTGTGTGTGTATGTGTGTGTGTAGACCTGCCTGGCTGGCAGCAAGCCCCAGGGATTTGCCTGTTTCCACCGCGCCAGCACTGGGAATGTGAGCACGCATCATCTCCATAGCTGTTTTAATTAATTTTAAACGTGGGTTCTGAGGATGGAGTTCAGGTCTGCATGACTGCACAGCAAGGCCTTTCCCTAGGGAGTTTTCACACCTTGAACTCTTAGCCCTCCCCCAGCTCTCTCTTCCTCTTCTTCCCTTCTTTATTTGTCAGGTGAACCAACAGCTTAACCAGCACTTCGCCTGTTCTCTGCCACAGATTCCACCCCCAGCCTCTGCTGCAGGAGTGCACAGGTGCGCAGGCGCTCAAGGGACACAGCGCACATTCGCTGTAGCCATCTTTGCTTTTCCTTGCAATGGAAGATCAGGTTCTACCAGGACTCAGGGCGCACACAGCTGGGCTGCCCATGCTGAGACCCAGATGAGCATTTCCTCTGCGGGTACAGAAGCCAGTTATGAAGGAAGAAATCCACTGTTAGTTTCTGGAGGCCCCTGGTGTACTCCACTTGGAGACATATGGCCGAGACAGGTAGTGGGTGGCAGTGGCCCTCCTTCCTTCTTCTCAGGAGCAATCAGCACCTCACAGTTCAAATATATGTGTGGGGGACTGGATGTGGTGGCACAGCCCTGACATCTCAGCACTCAGTAGCTGAGACAGGAGGATCAGGAGTTCAAGATCAAGCTTCAGCCATACAGTGAGTTTGAGGCTAGCCTAGGCTACAGAAGAACATGTGTATAAACAGGGTGCAAGTGGACAGCATTTAGAAGTTCTGGAACAGAAGTCAGGTGTGGTGGTAAATGCTGTAAGTTCCAGCATTTAGGAGGTGGAGGAAGGAGGCTGAATTCAAAGCCAGCCTGGGCTACATAAACCCCAGGGAAATAAAACGCCCCAAACCAAAAAACAACAAAACAGGCTGGGGACAAAGTGGACAAAGTACTTGCTGGACAAGTGTGAGGACCTGAGTTTGAGCCCCCAACATCCATGTTAAATTCCTAGGCAGGGGAGCAGAGATCGGTGGATCCTGGCATCTTGCTTGCCAGCCAGTCAAGCTGAATGAAACGGTGAGCTCCAGGTTCAAAGAGAGACCCTGCCTCAAAAATCAGGGTGAAAAGTGGTGGAGGAAGATACCCAACACCAACATCTGGTCTCCATGTGCAACACGCATTTTTAGCACATAGATTAAGAGAGATTCTATGTAAAACTGTATGTTTTTTTTTTTTTTTTCCTTCAAGATAGGGTTTCTCTGTTTAGCCCTGGCTGTCCTGGAACTCGATCTACATACAGACCAGGCTGGCCTTGAAATCACAGAAATCTGTTTGCCCCTGTGACCTGAGTGCTGGGATCAAAGGCTTAGGTCACCATGTCTGGCTCTAAATTTTTATTTATCTTGCTGGAAGCTATTTGCTCTTAGCAGAAATGAAGAGAAAAGGTATTTTGGTCAAAGGATAGATTAGTTTCTTGCCATGTTTTTGCTCTTCTGGAAGTTTCTCACAGATTTCTAGAAAGCACAAGCTATCCAAAGGTCAACACTGGAACATAACACTGTCTAGCGAGTGCTGGGCTTATCTTGCTTTGGCTCCTAAAGATTTCTAAATGTACCCAAGCTTATAGACCTAAGGACAGTATGAGTGGCAGCCATGGATCGAAATAGTCTCTTTGGGTGTGTAAAGTTGCCAAGTGGGAAATGCAAACTTCTTATATAACATGTTCATGGTAGCAAGAGCATGATAGCAAGATGGAAACATCTGGAAATCACTAGACATCACTCAGGTGGCAAGTTGTGCTATTCATGAGGCTTGCCACACAATAAGGAGATGGTACCTATAAGTTCTACTGAACTATAAGTTCCTTGCTCTGGTAATGGGATCTGTGCCTGGAAGGTTACCAACCACTTTGGCTAACAAATACTACCTATAAAGGGAGTGAATTGCACAGGGCTACTGATGAGGAAGGGCTGAGGATAGCCCAGTGATAGAGTGCTTGCCTAAGGCATGCAAGATCCATGTCCAGGCCTGAAGGGAAAAAAAAAAAAAAGGCAAATGATATTATTATATAAGAACAGCATAAAAACTTAGACAGCTCATACCTGGCAAAAATATTAGCAGTGGTTCTGTCTGTGGGAATATGAGAAATTCTTACTTTGGCACTGCATATTTCTCTGATGTTTGATTTGAAGAGGAAACCAGCACACTTGTTTTAAAAATTCGGTTGTGGAGAGCACACTAGCTTATCAAGGGTTGAGTTTGTTACCACTTGGGGAGAGTGCAGGGGCAGCATTGGGAAGCAGAGAACCATGGCTTTGTGGACTCACTGAGGGTTTTCTGCTTAACAGGCTATGGAGGCCAGCTTGCATTGCTGAACATGCATGGCAGCTCATGTGAACTAGTCCACAGGGCACACGTTAGACAAACAATGAAACTGTTCTATCTTAAGCTGGTGAGATGGCTCAGTGGATAAAATGCTTGCTGAGTAAGCTTGATGGCTTGAATTCAATCCCTGGGACCCATGTAACAGCACAGGGATAGAACCAGCTCCTCAAAGCTGTCCTCTGACCTCTGCAGGTACGCACAGCATGGCATGGGCATGCTTCTACCCCACAATAACAATAAGATATTAAAAAAAAATTGTCCCATCTCCAAAGAGAGTTAAAGTCCTGCCTACATCTTAATCCACCTCCCACAGTTGTTCCCAGTCTTCCATATTTCATTTTCTTCTAAGTGTACTTGGCAATGAAGGGCATGAAGTCAGTGTTAACAAAATAATAGTGTCAGAGCCAGGCATTGGTGGTGCACACCTTTAATCCCAGCACTCAGGAGGCAGAGGCAGGCGGGTCTCTGAGTTTGAGGCCAGCCTGGTCTGCAGTACGAGTTCCAGGATGGGCTCCAGTGTCAGGAAAAATGTGGTGTAGTGTTTTCAGCTTGTCTTATTCTTGGATCATTCTCTACCCTCCCTGGTTTCACCAGTCTAGAAAACCAATGGCCTGCTGTTAGTAACAATCTATAGTCCTGAAATTCTAACATGCCGAAGTTTGAATTAGGACTGACAAAAGTTCAAGGCCAGCCTGGGATACAAGAATTAACACCCTGTCTCAAAGGCTGAACAGCCTGGAAGCCCCTGGAAAGACAGAATGTAGCTGGAATTCCTTCTTTCAAGACTCATTTAGCTGGGCATGGTGACAAACACCTTAAATTCCAACACTCAGGATGGAGAGGCAAGAGGATCATGAGTTTGTGGCCAGCTTGAGCTATATAGGGAGACCCTACCTCAAAAAAACAGGGGCTGGCATTGAAGCTTAACGGTAGAGCACTTGCTAGCCCTGGGTCCATTTAGAGCACCACAGGAACAAGCAGATCACTAAACTGTAGACTTGACATCATTTGAGCTGGCCGCTAGTCCCTAGAACACCCACTGCCAGGCTGCCTTTATTTCTCCTGACTGCTCAGTTACATTAAGTCTTTTCACTGGGGGCAGTTGACAAAAACACTCAGGCGTCATCATTTACGTTGGTGGCTGCCAGCAGTTTGAGCAAACAGCAGGATAAGAAGCTTTTATGGAAAAACTGCCAAGTGTGAGGTCTGCAGGGATGGTATATTCCAACTTGTTTCTGGGATGTGGAGATGCCCTGTGCAGGGCTGTGCACATGCTAAGGACAAAGGTCTCATCTCTGACCTACCTTGCAGAGGCACTGCTTAACCGACAGTTGAAGAGGATCCCCAACCTGCACACAGAACTCCTTGGCAAATATGAAGTCTTGCTAGTTCTAGACTGGCCATATATAACAGACTTCGGAATTAGTTCAGAAAGGCCACTCAACAAGGGTATGGAGAGGGAATACAGTCTCATTGAGCTGGCCTCTGGTCCCTAGAACCTCCCCCCACAAAATATCAGCATCCCTAAAAATGTCCAGGGTGGGGTCCAGGGGCTGAATACTTAACTATCACACTAGCCGGTATTTGTTTTAAAATTTGCCTGTATATATGTGCCCTATGAGTGTGCCTGGTACCCACAGAGACCAGAGATGATGTTAAGATGGGAGTTAAAGGACAACTGTGATCCACCATGTGGGTCCTGGAATTGAATGTGTGTTCTCTGGAAGAGCAGCCAGTAGCTCTTCACTGCTAAACCTCTCTTTTGATCCCAACTCTACAACCTGTCTCTCGCGGTGTTTAAACCTGATGGCTACTCAAGCAATCTATTAGGCTATTAGGAACACACAACCCTAGTTTTTAGTGGAAAAGTTGTCTGTGACCTACCACAGCAGCAGTATGTCACATTCTTCCCCAGCCCACAGGATTAGAAAAGGTAGGTGCCATGAGCAAGACACAGAAATTCCATTCTCAGCCTTTTACCTGCCTTTCTTAGGCAGTCACCAAGGTAGCCCTTGTTTGAGAGCTGTTTCACTCCGGATCCGGATCCAGCTCTTGGAATGCGCTACCCTGTGGTTTTCCGACATTGTTTTATGAATCACCGACTAGAGAACTAGAAAGATGCCTTGCAGTTCCCAGAGAGAACTTAGTTTTCCTAAAGGCACAGCAGGAGACTTTCAGGGGTGACTAGACCC